CGCGGTGGGGGGGCCGCCCCCACAGGCCCCCCCACAGACACCCCGCGAGGCCGCCCCGCAGACGCCCGTGGTCACCAACCACCTGGTGCAGCTGGTGGCCGCGGCCAGCAAGGCGCCCCGCGCCGGCCCGCGCGGCCCCGCGCCGCCCAAGAGGCGCCGCTTCCCGGGGCCCGCCGGCATCCTGCCGCAGCAGCAGGTGAGTCCCCAGCCGCGGCCACCCGCGCTCCCGACGCGGCCGCCTTCCCAAGGCCCTTGGGTCTTGGCCGGCGGAGAGACGCCGGGCACGAGATCCGCCTCGGAGCGCGCTCTGGATCCGGTGCTCCGCAAGTGGCGTYTCCGTCTGCTTCAGCACCCCGGGAGGCGCCTGGAGGAGATCCTGGTTTCCACTCCCCAGACTCCGGCTCACGGGGCCTTGGCGAAGCTGCGGGCCAAGGTAACCCCCTTCCCCGCTGTGRATCCCGGTGCTCTTTGGATCGGGACGATCCCGGGGCTCCCGCGCGGTGACCGCAGCTCTCGTGTGACCCKAGGACCTGCCCAGCTCCCCGCCGCTCGCGGAGGAGGATTTCGGGAAGGGCCCCTGGGTGGCCATGAAGACGGAGCTGGGTCTGGATGAGAGGGACCCCAGCTGCTTCCTGCGGACCTACAGCGTGGTCATGGTGCTGCGCAAGGTGAGGGGCTCCCAGCCGCCCGGCTCGTCCCCTCGGAGCCGCTCAGGTGTCCCCCGTGTGGCCACGGGATCCTCCTTAGGGACGCTGTTGGCTTGACGGGGTCTGTGCGCACAGGCAGCCTTGAAGCAGCTCCCGAAGAACAAGGTGCCCAGCATGGCCGTGATGATCAAGACCCTGACGAGGAGCAACGTTGACGCTGGCGCGGTGTTCAGGGACCCGACCGGTACGTGCGCGCCGCTGGGGGACGAGGGGCAGCCCCGGAGCCCATCGAGATGCAGAAACGGCCCGTGGGGACCGTGCCCGGACCCGTGCCGGGAGCTGGGGCTCCTCCGCGCTCGCCGACGGCTCCCATTTGCAGGAGAGATGCCGGGCACGGTGCACCGCGCGCTGCTGGAGGAGAGGCGCAGCGAGCTCAAGCCGGGCTCCGTGCTGCTCTTGAAGCAGGTTCGGGACGCGGGGGGTGGTGGGGGGCGCCGGCGGGGGCGCAGGGCCGCCCACGGACCCCGCTGTGTCCCCTCGCAGGTGGGCGTCTTCTCCCCGTCCCACCGCAACCACTACCTCAACGTGACCCCCAACAACCTGCTCAAGGTCTACACGCCCGAGAGCGAGGGCAGCTCGGCGCAGACGGAGCAGCAGGCGGTGAGGGAGGCTGGGGGTGGCCTCGGTGGGGCTGGGGACCCCCTGGGGACCCCTGCGGAAGGGGCCCAAGCCAGGGACAGCGGAGTAAGGAGGAAGCGTGGGTGGGACCCGCTGCAGTCCCCCATTCTGCTCTGCCCTTGTCACAGGTCGCTGCCTGGGCTGGGTTAGACCGGGACCATCCAGCCCAGTGTGTCCCTGTCCCCAAGGACGAGGGATTGTCCCGGACAAACAGCCGCAGCTCCGAGCGGGCGCCCGGAGGCTTCTCGCTGCAGCCGGGGAGCTACGGGCCCCGGCAAGAAGAGCCCCTGGGAGCCGCCGGCTGCGACGTGGGTGAGTTGGACCCTGCAGCACGGGCAGAAACCGAGTCCTGCGGCTTGGGCCTCCCTCCTAAAGCCAAAGACAAGGCCTCCCCAGGCCACAGCCGGTGCGCGGAGCCGGTCCCCATCCGTGCAAGCCACGGCTGACGCCCGTATTTCATCCTGCCCRTGCAGATGACCTGGACGGGCTCCTGGGCGAGCTGCCCGAGGATTTCTTCTCGGCGCCGGCGCAGGCCGATGCCTGCTGAGCACAGGAGGGTCAGGGAGGCGGTCAGAGCGTCTCCGGCCTCCTCTCCACGTTCCCACTTCTGTGTCACCTTCCGTCTGGAGCCGAGAGCTGCACAGGCCTGGGGACCTGCATGGACACAGATTTGTCCCCTCCTTGTCCCCCTGCTGCTCCCCAGGCAGCCCCTCTCTGCTCCCCAACCTGCATTAAAGGGCTATTTTTGTTTCGTGTCCTGAACTGCCCGCATTTTGTCTCGTGTCGCTGCCCTGCCGGGGGGGGTGCCCATCAGCCTCCAGCACGGGCGGTTTCTGCAGATCTTTCTGATCTGCAGATGTTTCTGATCTYTCTTTGCAGAAAGATCTGCAAAAGATCTTTTTGCAGATCTTTTGCAGGTCTTTCTGATGTGCAGCGCCCCAGACGTGGTGCAAGGTGAGCGCGGGACCCCCTTGTCCTGCCCCAGGTCGCCTTGGGCAGGGGGCGCAGGGCAGGACAGCTCCCCCGTGCCCTCCTCGGCAGCAGGGGCCTCGTCCCGCTGGGATCTGCAGTGCCCAGCCCTGCCCTGCCCGCTCCCCAGGATCCCGTCCCCGCTTTGCACCCACCAAGAGGTTAACGGCTGGCAGCGCGGAGCCAACGTGACCCTGTTTACCACCGCGGGCGGTTATTTATAGGGTCGACGGCTCCCGCTGGTGCAGGCGCACGCAGGGCACGGCCCTATTTATAGCAGCGGGGCCAGCGCCCGGGGCCCTTCGCCGTCCCCCCCAGACGCCCCATCGCGCGGCCATGGCGCAGGAGACGTTCGCGTTCAGCTCGTCGGCCCTGCGCTCGCTGCGGCTGCAGCGGGA